GGACCCTTTCTTGACGTTTGGCCAAAAATACGCCACGATAGAATCTGGCATACGACAAACCTTCCGTTTCTATTCTCCGCTCGCGCCGAATAACACCGACGGGTTTCCAGAAAAATGACTTAAAGGTCGAAAACGAAAATTTTGACTAAAACTTTCGGATCGAATAGCTTTTACCTCAGATTTTATAAAAAAAAAAAGAAAGAAAAGAAAAGTATAACGAGTGGGCGAGCGGTATTTAAGGAAGGACGGACCACCTTTGGCCAACGGAATAAACGTATTCGTCGTTTACGGTCGTTGTTTTAATGCGAATCGCAACTAATCGCGGCTTACGGTAAGAGAACGTATTTGTGGAAACAGATTCTTCCTATTGATTGGGGAGGAGAGTTTACGGTCTTCTGCCAAATGCCGAGAAACTTCGCTTCGACTGCTGCCCATCAATTTCTACTTTTATGCAAATCGCATTTTTAATAAATTGATTAATTAAAGACCGAATCTAATTATTACCGAAGTATTCGAATTTCGATACCCGACCGACCCGCCTCCGTTAAAAGTCGTTAATCGTAATAAAACAGAAAAATTGGATTTTTTTTTAAATTTACGAATTAGAAAGATGTCTTTGTTTGTTAATTCGCGACTGGGAAGGGAGGACGCGGTCGAACTTTTTCCCTCTTTTTTGTAATTTCGACGAGTTCGGTGTGATAAAAGACGAGTGAGGCGCGCCGAGTCCCACGCTTCTAACAATTAATCAATTTTTCAAACTAATTCTATACCCGTATTCACACGTACGAATATTAATCATCGTCATTATCCTGGCATTTTTCCTCTATCGATTATCATAAATTTATCGAACGTGGCGTAAACTTAAAGTAATTGTGGCGGCGACAAATATTACGAAAATTCTACCTCTAATTCGAGTGCCGGGTGTCGATTGGTAATTAAGCCTCTGCTCGGATCTGGCCCAGGAATATTTTGTCGGACGGATATCGCCTTATTAACCTTAGGCGCATTGCCGCGTAGGAGATTATATTTACATAAATATTTCGTCTAAAGACGTAGGCTAAGCGGAGATGGCTGACCAGTTTCCGTAGTCGTAAATTACGGTGGCAATTGGTAAAGAAAAAGTGTTAAGTCTTTATAAATATCGATTGCTGGGTTTTACTTTTAAAATAATTTGGTAAAAAGACAAAATCGATTTTATTTAACGAATAACCAATTCGAATAATTTTACAAAATCTAGTTAATATCCGGATTTAAAAACAAATTAAACCATTGGTTAATAACTAGCAGACGAATTTAGCCGGCTGGTCCCCATTTTCTCCCTTTCCCGGTTTCTGCCAAATACGAAAACTGCCGGAGCTTTAGCCCAAGTATTTGAACAGTTGGGAGCCGAACGACAAAAAAGTCGATATTCGACAGACCACCGACGATCGGCCCTAACATGGCGCCCGACATTCTCTATTTAGTCTCGGTCTACCTTACAAAATAGGCAACGGCTACGTAAATGTCCGCAAATATTCTTTTACGTAGTTTTTGATTTGGCAACGTCGAAGTGGCGATTAAGAAAGAAGGGTCAATCCCGGCAAACTTGAAGTAACGTTTAAAATTACACGCGTATTATCTTATTGTTTACTAAGAACAAAGACGCGCCACTCTTTCGCCCGTGAAACTCGAAGCTGGAACTAGGAATATCGAGAATGTCGAATTAATGGCAGATTAAGGATCTTCCGTCGGTGGTAATTTTTGATGGGGACGGCCCGGTAGTTTCTTTATTGTATAAAAATCTACGGAGTAATAAATGGAGCGGATTGCCAGTCTAGCGGTGGTCCGGTGGCGCCTTTTAATCCCGGCGTAATTTAAAAATGGGAGAAAATCGAATTTTGCGAAAAATATTAATTCCCCGGATAAAGTAACGAGACGATTGATCGTTACTTCCCAACTACTCGAATTTCAAAATCGAAGCGCCTCGTCGTCCTCCGACTCGAATCGTTTCCAAACGACAAATAACCGGAGACGTGGCAAATTGCAATTTCTCTTTACTTTTTGTCGGGGTTTTCCCGGTGTCGACCGTAATTACCGTATTCATTGGCACGATAATTATTGTCGGGAAGACGAGTGGACCGAGACTAGGTGGGCCAGGATCGTCGTCGTCGTCATCACCATCATCATTGGGCGCGAAGAATACAAAAAACGATTCGGACGATAATCGATATTAGAAGGGACGGCGCATCTCTTCGGGGAAATTTAAAATCGACGATTTCGACTCGATGGTGTGGCGCTTATTATTGCCTCTTCCCGTAGAAAATTACGGCCATAACGACCGTTATACTTTATTTTATCGAATAACCCAGGATTAAATAATTACTTTTATAGAAAAAAAGTCGGAAACTATTAAAGGAATAGCCAAATTGCAATTTTAGTAGGATTTGATTTCCGGAGACGGTAACGACCCTCGTAAAACTATCCTTCGATTATTGTTGGTTTATAATTAAGTGTAATCCTATATCAAATTATCCAAATGATTTTTACTTGGCCGGCGATAATTACGTCCAGACTCGCGAAGGGCCAGCGCCGACCTTTATTACTATTACTATTTTTAATTCCTAGCGCGCTCGATTCCCACTAGCTAACAACCCCAGCGCCCACCATTCTGGTTACGGTTAATCAAAAAATCGATATTTATATGTTAAACATAATTTAATTTTCGGGAAGAAATTTGGAAATTTTGCCACGTCGACAGCGCCTTGCAAGGTTTAAAGTGAGAAAAACTACCGATATAATCGTACCTTTTAATTTCTTATATTTCTCTGGCCGGAAAAGGCCATTATTTTTTAAAACAATGGCGAAAAAATGCAATTTTCAATCTTCTAATTTGTTTACTTTTATTTTTTCCTCCCTCTCGTTCCTATAGGACTAGACTGTAACGTCAATATTGCATTTCTTAGAAAATATGACGATGCTATAAACATGTTAGAAGAAAATGATACGAGAACATGATATCGACGTTAGAGAAAATGTATCGATGTATAACGTTTCCGTTCATCCCCACCAATGACTATAAAACGTTAAACAAACTACGGAATACGAAAAGACTGCCGAATAGGTGGGCACGTATTTTCCTCTTTCGCCACAAATTTAACTTCCATTACGTATCTCCGGTCCAAAAAATGTATCTGCCCACCGTCGGCTTAATATTAATTATTTGTACGGTGTACTCCACGCGCGCATTCGTTTATTTATCCGGATATTTCGGATATTATCCGCATCTCGTTAGCCGAGTTGGTCGCCAGAGAAAAACTTCCGACACTTAAAAAGTTCGCTTCGTATTAGGTAGAAAAGGGACCGATTGTCGGGCCGTAATCGAAAACGATTTTCTTACCCTCTGTTCGTTTCTAAGGAGAAACGATTACTTTTCTTCGACTTCCGCCATAGTCTTGGCTTTAAATGAACTTAAAACGACTGGAAATTTATTTATGCGAAAATTAGAAACACGGGGTTGAATGCCTTACGCGTACGCCCCAGCCCCCAGACTTTCGAAAATTACAAAATACGTTCCGCCAGGAATTAGTATTAAATTAAAATTCTAAAAACAATTCCGTTTTTTGATAATTGGAGAAACGTGGCGATATAAACGACGTTATTTACGAATCGATCGGAAAGGGACTACGTCACGGCGGTCAAGGAGGAGGACGTAGAAAGAAGGGCGGAGCCAAACGAGGAAGGAGATTGGAGCTTTAACTAGCGTAGTTGTGCGGGAAAAATCTCTCGTTTACTTGTACTGGTGGAGGAAGACAGCCGGCGGGCACGTCCGTCATCCCCACTCGGCTTTAAAACGCGACTCGAATTAAAGTCGCTTCCTATTTCTTCCCTTTTCGAAATTAGCCACAATTTCCCTCCCACCAAAATTTAATCGGGTTTTTAATTACCGATTCTTCCGGAGGTAAAAGATCCCTTCCTTTCGCTCTTTCTACATTTTGCCTCCTTCTAAAACATCTGTTTTTCCCATTTATCACCGTGCCCCGTACTACCGGCGCTATTTATTCGGGCGGGGATTGGACTTCCGGCCACGCGCTCCGCCCGCCCCGAGATCTTTTTAATCCGGCGTCGACGGCGCGCGCCATCGCGCCCCACGCAACTCTCCTCTCCGTCGGGCATTTCAGAATTTCGCTCCCTCCACCCCGGAAAAAGGCGCGGAGGCGGCGCGGAAGGGACTTTTTACGTCGGAAAGTCAATGGTTGTTAATTGTGGCCGAGAAGAAAAGCGGCGGCGCACCCCCGCCGAGAAACTTAATATAGTCATTAGTAAGATTCTTCTATTAACGGCGGAATTCGAAAAAAGGGGAAGGAGGGCGAGGGGATCCTCCCGGAAGTGGGAAATGCGCGGAGGTAAACGAGTGGGCGTTAATAAAGGAAAAGTTTGAGAGAAATTTACAGAAACCGAGCGTAATTGTACAATAATGATTCGCATATTTGAAAACTGATGTTATCTTTGCGCAGTTTACTGTCGAGCGACGTTCTAAATGGCAAATTGATTGATGTTTAATAAATGACGAAACTGTTATTACTCGGCTTACGCGGCGGTCGCTGCTCTTTCGCCACCCCTGCACCCGCAAACGATCGGCGATCGATCGATCGATCGATCGTGCGGGTTTCGAGTGCCGACTCGATCCGGGAGGCCCGGGGAGGGCCAGGCGAGAAAAGTTTGGGCATTTACCCGGGCGGAAGTGGAATTATGTTTTCTTATCGATCTTCGCTCCTATAAATACCGGACGAATCTCTCGTAGGCAGCGCGGTAATTTGTCAATCTTTGCGAGCACTGGCCGGCAGCCGGCACGACTCGCTCCATCTGTCGGGCGCGGCGAGAACTACCGGGAGGCGATCGATTAATTAAATCGATGGCCGGTGTTGGAGTAAATATCTATTTGTTTAGGTTTTACTGTTTTAAACACAAGTTTCGTTTGTATTTGAAAAATGCATTTTAACACTGGCTTTTTTTATTTTCAGTTAATTCCTATGGAGAAGTGAATTATGGAGAAGGTAATGACGTAATTAAAAACGATTATTAGTGTTTAAACGATATAATTATACGGAAAGCGGAGTAAAAATGACGGAATAAAGGCGAGAGAATTTTCTAATTTGATAAACGAGCCGAAGGCTTTAAGTGTTTAAAAGGCGGCCTTAATTTGGACGCGTCAATCTCGCATCGAAAATTGATTTTAATTAATTAGGACGGAAGCCGGGCCCGTCCGAAGGCCAACGCGTCGAATTAAAGGCGTAGAAAGATAAAAACTCTTTTTAAGTCGATAGAAAAGCCTTTAAAAATGCCTCGCTTTCTTCTTTTCAGATAGACCAAGTCTCCGAAGAGTTCCAATCGGGAGGACCACCAGGTAAACGTTTCCTTGGTAACAGGGGTGTTTTTCCGGATGATTAATCACGAGCTGTCTTGTGGCAAGACATACCATTCGTGCTTTTGACAGTCCGAGATGTCGTTGACGTAATTACTCACGACACCTGTGCAGCAATGTCAGTCGTTTGAGGAACCGAAGGCAAATCTCCTCTCCTCCCCACTCGAAAGAAAAAAGCGAGAAAAATACTTTTCCGGACAGCGATCCTTTTTAGCGCACTTAGAGTCAAATTAACACTCTCCTCGTCTCTACTCCGAGATTCGGAAATTCGTGGATTAAACGAGGAGAAAAAAGAAACGCTTTAGAAACTCGGTTAATGGGAAGACTTTTTTCTCCTCTTCTCGGCGAATTGCGCAAAAAAAACGTCAACAAGAATGTAAATGGAATCTGTTTTTGTCGGCGGTTAAGTAAATGCCCAAGCTTTTTAATGGAGTGCTTATTGTTAGTTAATTCTTAGTCATTCGATTAACCGGATTCGGATCTCTTTCCCTCCCTCCAATTAATTACACTCACGCTCTTTTTTCTCTTTGCCCTTTTCAGAGGTTCCCGCCCAGGAGGCCACGTGAGTGTTTCTTGTCTCTCGCGCGATTCGACTGGCGCCGTTCTAACCATGGTTTCATTTCAGAGTCGAAGCCACACTCAACGTTTCCAACAAACGAAAAGAGCCGAACGAAGAGACGTCGGAGGAGCCGGCCAGCAAGTGTTTGCGAGTGTCGGAAGCCGTCGAGACCGACAAGGGCCGGATCGAAGAGTCGCGCCATGCGGAGCAGGCGGAGCGCGCGAGGTATGCCGAGACGGAGAGTCGAGTGGCGGCGGAGACTCAAGAAGCCGCGAGAAAAAGCGAGCCGGAAGTGGACGAGGACACCAGGATCATCAAGGAGGCGGAAGCGGCCTTGAGAAGCCTTTCGGGGGACTTCGGACAGACGGAGGCCTGTCCCTTCTACGGGGAGGCCGACGACAAGCCCATGTTCGAGAACCTGTTCGAGAAGAAGACCGACGGCAGACCTTCGGGAGAGACCGTGACCAACTCGTGGAAGGACATCGTCACCCTCAGCGCCTCCTCCAGTTCTTGCGGCAGCCTGGAAAGGTCGCCGCTCAGATCGCCGGTTCTGTCGCCCGTCGCCGTGGTCAAAGTGGAGAAGAGGGACGAGAGAGAAGCCTGTTCCTGTTCCTACGGCGAAACCCGGTGCAAAATAGAAAACGTCAAAATGGAGGACAAGACCTGCAAAGTTCTGGACAACTACGCCGCCGCCGACAGGAACGACTCCTACGACGTGGAGAACTTGCTGAAGATCGAAGAGGAATGTGCCAATATTCAGTCGCTCATGTCGACTCACGACTATTACATGGACATCAAAGAAGAGCAGAAACCGTTGGTTCCGGTCGTTAATCACGCCATGAAACAGTGCTTGACTAACGATCTGGCCGCCATGCACAGGCCCGGCGATGCCATGTCGTACGGCCCCTGGTGCCAGGATCAGGATCAATGCCAAATGCGTTACCAGACTCAGTACCAGTGTCAGATGAGTGCCATGTCCGCCATGGACGGCACGCAGAGGTACACGGTCCTGGACGGAAGATACCAGGACCAGAAGAGCTTCGAGGAGCACCTCTATCCCATTCCGGACGACGATAATCCCCTGGTGATAGACGAGAGCAGGCTCAGGTCGACCGACGACGACGACACCACCGACGATCTGCCCAGTCCTCAGCACTACTTGGCAGCGCACGCGGACAGGATGAAGGTGGAAGAGTATCCCGCCTGTCAGCTGGGAGGACACGAGATGGCCTTGAAGGGTGAGTCTTTTCCCAATTTACTAGGTAGATTTCCCGGGGCTTTCTCGCGCACAAATACGTATTTACCAGCGTCCGGACGATTCTTCCCATTACCGATAGATGGCGGGAGTGGAGAAATGTTTGAGCGGGCGGTTTTTCACGTTTATCGATAACTTGTTTCGTGTAAAATTTATTTAAAAGTCTTTTAAAACAGCTGCAAATACTTCAAAGTGGCCGAAATAATACAGTACTTAAAACATTTCTCCAAAAGTTTGCAAAGTTGTAATTGCACCAGTCGGGAATATAATACCAATTGTTATAAATTTATTTTTAAATTTGGCATTTACATTATTTCGATAATTATCCCTCGACATAGCGCCTCTTTCAGATATTGAATTTAAAAGTGCCGTACATATTTTCAACGTAACTTACTATACTGTACGGTACAACTGGAAATTTTAAAAGCGTAGGTTAAGAGGAAAAGCCCATAGTCATAGTGTTTATGAACACGAATCATAAATATTTTACTGGGAAATGTAGGGAGACTTTTCGATACGGTGCGGTGGCGCTAATTCGAACTAATCGAGACCGGTGGTAGTTGGATTAACGAAAAGTTCGGATTAACGAGGGTATAATAGTAAGGATACGATGTTTACGCTCGGAGGCCACTTTTTACTGTCGTAAAGTACTGTACGGCGGCAAACAAGGTCGGAATCGTTAAATCAAACCGGGTAGGAGAAAAAGTGAGCAAAGATGTTCGCAACGAGTGACTTACGTTTACTTTATACGTAAGATGCAGGCGGACGGATGACATTTTAGTTAGGGGAAGGGTAGAAGCTGTTCGGATCGGAGCCGGATTGGAGCGATACGCGCCAATCGGGCCCCGCAGCGCATCAAAATTTATATACAGTATTTAAAAATAGTACACGTTACAAAAATAAATATCTAGGTATATTATTATTAAAAATATAACAACATATTTCAATACGTAAATTAACTGTAAATTAATTTCGTTATTTAAAGTTTGAGGGAGCCGCAAAAAAAAAAAATTCGATCGGGCCTCGCACCTATTGGATCCGGTATTAGCGCCACCGTACTGTATTTTTTAAAAAAATACGTAATTTTTTGTCGGTGGTTTTTGGCGGAGAAAAGAATCAAATGGCTGCGATTAGTAAGTAGCGTTATATCAAACACGTCTCTCGATCAGTTTTCATTTATATCGCGTAGCAATTCCCCTCGTCCACCGCCAAAGCTTTCAATATTTTTAATCGAACGGCCGAAGCAAACTTTATTCGTTTTCTACCAGCAAATTATTTAGCCACATTTAAACGAACGAAAATATTATTTTTAGTTTTCGAAAACGAAAATTTACACCAATGCTTTTAAAGTTACGTCGATGACCTTTTGAACTTTAAATGGAAAAGCCAAATCGGTTATCCCGTCGGGAATTTTAAAAGTCGACGGTTGTCCTTCTCGACGCCATATTAATTCCGATTGATAACCACCCAATTTCTATCCGGGACTCGATTTGTTATATACAATTATTGGCCAATTAAAATGCAAATATTCGGCTTTAAAGGTTCGAATCTTTTAACTAATTAAATGAAGTCGCGTAACTTTACCGACAAAACCATTTAAAATTGCACGTGGCGCCATCTGTTGAAATGCTTTTAAATTAAAATACCGTATGATTTTAAATACAGTAGAGCGTCGACTATCCGAATCAACTGGGGACTGGAATGTTCCGGGGGATTAATCGATATTTCGGATAACCGATTATGTACGAAAAATGTATTAATTTATCCCGTTTCTCCGTTGCGTGTCGCTTCGCGTTGAATTTTCGTCGACGTTAAGCCTAACGAAGACTATTGTATCGTTAAAAATTATTTTTTTATTTTGTACAAACAAAATAAATGTATTGAAAAATATAAAAACAATAAAAAATTATACTTGAAGTTAATTTAGTATCAACAACGTAAAATACTTGAGTAGCCCAAGACATAGCCAAAGATTGAAGCGCCACAGCACTAGCGAAAATTTAAATTTGCCGACTGGAATTCTTTCGGATAATCGACGCTCTACTGTATTATAATACGTCAAAAAGTTTAATACGAGTTTTCTAAAACATTGTAAATGCTAATAACGAGTGATACCTCGGTCGAGTGCCGTCTCACACACGACACGCGACTCCTTCGACCTTTAACCACCAAAATTTAATACCATCGATCCCCGTAAAACACAAACCAGCTGCAAAATTTCAGAAATTTTCGACAAAAGGACGAAAATTATTAAGCTTCGATGCGAACCGACAAAACTGCCGTACGCCAGCACGCTAATACGCAGCGCCCACTAGTGGCCGAGTGAATAGAACCGCCGAACGTCGGTAGTGGGTTGGCGTTTGTAACACCCAAACGGGAGCCAGTTTTCCATAGAAAGTCCTCCCCTCGTGGATTACCCACGCGTCGCGTTGTCCAATCCGAATAAAACTAAAACCCAACCACTAACACGCCTACAAACAAGGGGAGGGACATTTCTTTTACACGTTTCGAGGCGCTCCTAGTCCATTTTGGCATTTTGAGGAGGGTTCAGATTCTGACGCACGGCAAACTTTCCCTTTGTTTACATATAGGACAGGAAAGTAATAGGATCTTTTAAATTAATTTTGGAATTCCCGTAATCCAGACCGAATCGCCTTATTTACTTCGTAGTTTATCAAATATAAATATAAATACCACGAATAGTAACTCACATTTCGCCTCTTCCTACCCGAAAGAATGGCAGAAAATAGAAACTTTTTCGGCCGAACGTACGCATTAAAATATATTCCGTCGTCCATTCTTTTACCTCTTAAGTTATTACAATTTCGAACGGTTGTCGATGACGAGTAAATTTACCCCAGTTTCCCCACACGATTGTTTTCTCTCAAGACCGCTAGATGGCGCCAACGTACGGACGGTTGGCAGTCTGGGGAGGAGGCGATTGGAGGAAAGTGGTTGACGAAATTATCCGCGGAAGTTCGATACGACGACGACGGGACTAAATTTTAATAGGTTAAACACAAATTACTTATCAAAATGGGAACCGATGAAATTACGGCTCGCGGTTACTGCGATAACTCGCTTTTCTTGCTATTTTTAATTGGCTGCAATTTGAAAATTGAAGACCTTGGCCTACACATTCTCACTGCGATCTTTATTAATCTCGAGAACGGAGTTAAACGGACGGAAAGTTTAGTCCCCGCAGGCCCCGATTAACTGCGCGCGAATTTCCGGGCTGGGTCGGAAGTCACGTGATTTTTTAAATTACACGATGGCGACCACGTCACATTAAAACGTATTTTTTAAAACGGAGTTGTAGAAATTTTGGAATTTCCCCGGTAGTCCTAAACCGGCGGTTGTTAACCTTTTTAGTGGTCGGCACCCCTTTGAATCTGAAAATAAGCTCTCGCACCCCTTAAAAAATGTGTGTACGTTTTTTATCTAAGAAAAAACATTTATCTCATAAACAAATGCAGTGTTTATTTACGATATATCTATACTAATATTATAAAGAGGTAATGTTTGTATGTATGCATGTAAGTTTGTATGCATACATACGGGTAATCTCCGAAACTACTCATCCGATTTCAAAAATTCTTTCACCGATATTTAAAATGGAACCTCAGGGTGGACATAGGCTGTATATTATTCCATTAAACATTCATATAAATTAAAATATATAATCTAGGTTAAGGCTTTTATGTCCAACAGATGGCGCTACGAGTACGACGCCCTAAGTTTGCTTTTCTGCCAGGTATTATGCTTTTCTGTGAAAATGAACTAAAGGGGATCATCTTCTATCTATTTACATAAATAAAGATGTAATGTTCGTTTGTTCCTACCGATTCCTTTGAAATTTTGACACAACGCCGCATTCGAATACGCACGTGTTTTTATATAATATACGTGTCGAAATTCCCGGACTGAAGGGAGATGGTTAGGATTAAAGCTTACCGGTAAAGAACTCTGCTTCTATTTATACTATTTCAGATGCGGTTTTTTGCGTTTTTGACTGTGTTTTAATAGGATACGTCAACAGAATGTACACTAAGAAGAAATTTTTCGAAAAATTCCTCCCCCCTCCACGGGGGAAGTGTTATACATTTCTAATAGATACATTTTGAGCCACAACAACGCGTGGCGGGGTCTGCTAGTATTACTATATAACGTAAAAAGCAATATTTAAATTTTAATGGCTAGGTTGTTATTGTTTATTCACAATAATTCTATTAAAACGAGGCTGTTTTTTCGAAAGAGACACGCGTAAGATACCAGACGCGTTTACGCGATTTCTGGCTTTTGTTTTAATGCGCAAAAGTGCCGTATTCGAGGTACGCGAACGCGTCTCGACTAGTTTCTGTACTGCACGTGACAATGTGACTACATTAACCGCGTGTACCGACGACTGACGACGAGCGCTATGTGCCGAGAGACGGTAGAGAACGAAGTGGGGGTGCCGTGTTGCTGGATACTACGGTTTGTAGAGAACTTGGTCGCCTCGTTCGTATTTTTTATTTATTTGAAATTTCTCTCGCACCCCGGGTTAAGAACCGCTGTCCTAAACGAACACGCGACGGAAAGCCACGAAATCTTAATTCTGTTCCGTCCCTCGGTCGGAAGCGTTAATAAAATTCGACCTTTCCCACCACGTTCGGAAGAAAAAGTGAGATTTACGTTTTAAGTAAAAAATCGTTTGTCTGTTCTTCAAAACTCTCTCATCTCATATCTCACAGAGGAGTGTTATAGCTATGCGCTTTTCACTCCGGAAGAAACAGGAAGGAAGAGTCGGTCTTGTTCTTCAAAACATCCCGTCATTTGTTTCTATTCGTTTCGTCGTAACGTTTTTGTTGTTTCCGAAAAGGGATAACAGATGGCGCCTCCGTCTTACCCTCCATTTTATCTCTAGTCTATTAATAGCCACGACGGGGGTGGCGTCGTAGTCCGCCCGACGGACGATAGAAAAGAATTCACCCGTTTTTCGCT